AGAGTTTAGGAGAGATAAGAAAAAGACAAAATTTAATAAGAGCTACAAAGGACAGGAAATTGTGGAGAGCCATGTTCACCAGCATCCTAAAGAGATACAGCACATAGAGGAATGTGTGCAGGTTATGCAACTTTAGGGATTTGGTTTGTTAGTTATGTAAAAAAACTCAATCTAATAAAAAACAACTGAAAAAGACAGCTGAAAGGAAAGAACCTTTTGTGATTACACAATATTTAGGGAATGAAGTGATAGAAAAAAATGTGATAATTATCAAAAACTAAGAAAGGTCAGAGTCAATCAATGATCAAGCCAAATCTTGGGCTTTGCCAATGAACAAAAAGGTCAAGAGTTGCTGTTTGACCATTGCTTCAGAAAATCAGATTAAGAGAGGCGTTAAGAATTCCAAGACAGCCCTGGAAAATGGATGATAGAAGAAAACCTTTACTGAAAGTATGGCTTAAAGGCTTTTATACTTCAAAGGCCACTGTCAGCAAAGCAAAGAGAAAAACAATTACAAAATGCAGCATATTGGTCAGTCAGCCTTAGCTGCTTCTCAGGCTTACAAGAGAATTTCTTTTTTTAAGACATTCAGATGAAACCTGAATACTTGCCAATATATCCTTGGACATTTTGGGTAAATTTCACTATTTCAAAATTTCCTGTGTAATGGAATAAATTAGCAATAAAGAGCATCAAATGGGCAGTACAAAGTTGCTCATATGAACAGCTTTATTATACTAACATGTAAGACTGTAATTCTTTTTGGTGATTAGACACAGGAATGTTGAACTAGTAAAAAGTGAAACAGGTTAAGATGACATGCAACAGTTGTTTTAGTAACAAAATTTCAACAAGTTTATCATCACTCATAAAGTCAAATTTTCATGCTATTTTCCTAAACAAGAGATGGTCAATCATGTTGAAACACCAGTTCTCTCTGATTGGTTGACTGATTTTGTTTAGCTGCATGTCAACCTCTCTGGATTATTTAATGCTGAAATCTAAATATTTTAAACACAATTTTAAATATATTTTGGATGCAATTATATGCCTTCAACTACAGATAAAATGTATTGTTGGTCATTTTACTATAATATGTATTATTAGAAATATTTTTTATATAAAAATTTATTGCTTGTATTTTTACTATAAAAATGTATTTTTTTATACATTCATAGTGTTTTGTTTTTGTTTGGGAGTTAACTATTTGCCCATAGCAGGGACCCTAACAGGTATGATGAGCCTGGTTAGTAATTAGATGGATGACTGCTTGGAAATACCAGGTGCTGTAACCTTGGATATGTGGGTGGGGTCATAGATAATGATTCAGAATTTGGAAATCAGAGAAGCTGAGCTCCATTTCCAATCAGGTTTGTTATATTCATTTATGAGAAAATACTCTTAGGAAAGGTTATGAATTCCACATCTCTTCTCTCCCACAGTTATGGGTTAATAAGTAGAACTTGTATCAGTAAAAATAATTATCTCTGAAAGGTTATACAATCTAAACATATTTTCTGATTTTAAATAACCTGCAAAATCTGTATATTTCTGAGATGAAGTATTGTAATTATTTACACTATTTACATTGTTATATTCATGATATATCAGCCATTGTATGTTCCTTCCTTCTTCAGGTGATTGGAATTTCAAACTGAACCCTTTATTTCATCCACCAGAGTAGATTTTTCTAGTTCCATGCGCCATGTCTCTTCCAGATGTCTCAATTCCAATCACCTGAAGAAGGCTGAAAGTGTACATGGCCGAAGCATTGTGAATGTGGCAACAAAGATGAGGACAACAGCCTGAACAATGTAAATAGTGTAAATAACCTGCAAAAGGTTGATAAACCATAAAAAAACAAATCAATCAATCAATCCTAAACAAGAAAACAAAATCTCTGCCTAATTTACTGCAGTGATTCTTTCATTAATTCCCTTGCGAAAGGCATAAATCCATTTTTCCCACAACTGAAGACATAAATGCAACTATTCTTACCAAGAATGCATGCCAATTCACAGATATTAAACAGAAAAGGAATCTGTGGAGAGACATGATTGCCAATGTCCTGAAATGATAAGAATTTAGAGAAAAAATATATAGAAATTATTGATATCAATCAAAATAAACATGGTAAAGATAAAAAAATATCTATAGTTTATTGATTTGTATATTACTTATATTCTTCTATGTGCTGTGTCCCTTCAGATTGATGGCAATCATGGCTTTCCACAATTCCCTGTCTTTTGTTGTTCTTAATAATTTTTGTCTTTTTCTTATCTTGTTATGGGTGCATGTTCTTTAGCATATATATCTTTTGTATTATTAATGATTCAAGAAAACAAAACTCCAAATGTGAATCAACAAGTATATATTGAAATAACACACAAGAACAAAATATACAATAATTTGTATTCAATGTATAGATTAAGGGAAAACAAGTTGCTTCTCTTTTACCATATTTTGATTTGTAATTGATTGTTCGAAAGAAAGTTCTCTTGAGAGAGAAATGTTCAGGAATCAATGTTAGAATAAGTCTGCTGTTAGAATAGATAACACAAGAATACAATTGATCAGAAAGTGTGTTGCGTTAGAGAAATCAACAGAGTCCTGGTTGATTGAACTTGGCTGAGTCACAGAGAGATATGTATATATGTATTACAAAATTCTATGTCTGAGTGTGCGTTTGAAATGTTGTGAGTAAAGTCATAGGTTTGTGTTGACAGGCGAAATTTGCTGGACTTTACTAGCAGCTTGTGACAAAGTCGCCTCTTTTAAAGCTAGAGATAGGCTCCCAGCAAAACCGCAGGAAAAGTTGATTTTGCACTAAAATATGTGATTGGTTAAAAATTGACCAATCGCTAAATTTGTACTAACGAAACAAGTAAGCAAGTTAAAAACCGAAAAATTCAAAGCAACAACTGCAATGGCTAAATTGTCCTATAGAAAGGCAGTATTGATTTATTAGCCAATTACAGACAAATAAAATGTGGGCATAGAAAAAAATAGCAGTTGCTACAATCTCTCATAAACCTTGTTCCACCATCCATTTACTCAAGTTCACTAGGTAGATAATGCATTATTTTCCTCTGTCCCTCTTGCCTTCAATTTGTCCTGTCAGTATCACATTTTACAAGCTCTCTTTCCTCCTTGTGTGCCCCAGAAATTTCAACTCTTCTTCATGTTAAGTATAAGCGTCTTTTTTGTTTCCTTTTTCTCTAAAACCTCATCGTTGTTCATATGTTCAGTCCATGGTATTCTCAGCATCCTTCTGTAGAATCACATTCTGTTACTTCAAGTCAATTCTTCATCTATGTCTGTCTGGTATTCACTAGCATATAAGAGGATTGATATCATGTAACAGTTCTGTACTTTTTTCTTCAATTTTAACAAAATTTTTCTGCTTCTTCATACTTTGCTTAGATTTCGGAAGGCATTTTTTACTATCCAAATTGCCTTTGGATTTTAGTGTTGCATTTTCTGTCTTCTGTTAAAACACTTCCCAGATATTTAAATTTTTGTATTTGTTTGATTTTGGTATCTCCAATTTGTAATTTTCATGTTAGGCTGTACCTTTTTGCTAATGACCATGCATTCTGTCTTCTTTAGTCCTTTCTTCATGCTTTCCTTCACTACCATTTGTAGAATATTATTTATGTCTATACTTTTCTGAAGGTTTAAGCTATTTTATAACAAACAGTCATTTAAAGGATAAAGAACTATAGCATGTAAGAAGTCTTATTTCTGATAGTACAAACACAAATATCAAGTAAAGTAAAGATCCCCCTCTACCGCTACCAATTCTAAAAGAACAACCTCTCCCTTTCTTTCTCAGTTAAAACTGATAATGAGCATCACTAATGCATCATCAAATATTATGCTGTAAGACATAATTGGCTGACTGCCTTTTAAAGAAAAATTAAAAAAGAAATTAATTAAAAATTAAAAACTTGACAGATTACTGGAACACTTCAAAACATTTACACTTCAGCTTTTGATCAATGAATTTTTTTTTTTTTTGTTAAATTCTATTACATTTTTTCTTTGCCTTGACACTGAGGAAAGTTGATGACATTGGAGAAAAAGAAAGAATTCACACCAAATCATTGCCAAGAAAAAGGTTAAGAAATGAGTGAAAGCATAAAGACAAAAAATTCTTAAATGAAGAAATTTTATCATATGCATCATGGATCATACAGAAACAAGCATGTTGTAAATGTAAATTCTAGATTTGGTGATTCTTAACAGTTTCAGGATCCATAGCCTAAATTTACACCCACAACCAATTGCACAAGATCTATCACTTGTTTTTTTTTTTTTTTTTTTTTTAATATTTTAGTTTTAAATTATATAGGTTTTAAATTGTTAAGTGTTAAGGAAGTTGAAATTTATGAAATTACAGTTTTTGAATATGGGTATGATATACAGAAAAAAGAAGAGTTCAATTGACTCCAATTTTGTCATAGCCCTTACACAAAACAAAGATCATTTAAAGCCAGAAAATATTTTTAGATTGTATGAATTTTTTGGGAGATAATAATGATTTACTGATTCATACCTTCTCCCAAGTTGGGATGTGCACTGTGTTATATTGGATATATTGGCTAAGAGAGAGAGAAAGAGAGTAACTTGGAGAGCAAAGTTTGAATTCCAATCGAGTTTGTTAGATTCACTTGTGCACAAATACCCTTTGGATTGCTATAAATCCATTTCTTCTCCACCCAGGTTGAATAGTAGGGAAGACTGAGTTCTTTAGCCTTGGTTTGCAACCAGTCTACTGCAGAAAGAAATGGCATTCTACTGCGGGAAAAAAATTGCCTTGTCAGTCAGGCATTGAAAGATACATGATCACCCATGCATGTATCACGTATGGCACTTAACTGACTGACCTGTCCCAAGGGTATTTACAGATAAGTGAATATAACAAGCCTGACTGGAATTTGAACTCAGTTCTCTGATTTCCAATTCTAATTATCTATTATACCACCTGCACATCATAGCTTACAGTACCTGGTATTCCCAAGCAATCACCCATCTAGGTACTGACTAAGCCTAATGTTACTTAACTTCAGTGATTGTACAAGAACTAGTGTTTCAACATGACATGGTTGCAAGCCAATTCATTCTTAGTGAATGCTCCATGGTGTACTATACTAATACAGAATGCCATGGAGTGCTCCCACATTTGTTACCTTGTGCCATACTAAACTTATTAAATAGCAATAGAAACAAAAATGAAAAGAGCCACAATTTAATTTGATGCTGCCTCATTCCACTTTTGAACTGATAATTCTAGAGAATAATACATTGTGATTTTGAGTTAAAAAGATAAAAGTAAAAGAAACTGTCAATAAGCAAATTTTGATTAAATATCAAATCTCAGTACAATAATGGGAGATATTTACTTGGTTATGTCTTTGAATCAAAAGCTTCCAAAATCTTATTCATATAATTATTCCAATTATTTTCCAGATACATAATTTATGACAAAAAAAACTTAATTTGATAGCAATTTAATTCTGCAGTTGGAATAAATTTAGAGAGTTGATGGCCTAAATATCTTTTTTCTTTTTTAATTGTTTAACCTCAAAGCAATAATGTCACTAGAATGCAGGGGGTTACAGGGAAAGATTGAGGAAAGGACAAAAAAAGAACAGGGTTCAAAAAGACAGAAGATGGTAACTGATCTTGCATTTAAATTTTGTTCCAATCTAGTAGCACACTTAAATCCATGTAGACAGGGAATCAGAGAAAAAAGCTAATCAGAACAGTTGCCATGAAAATATCTGTAGAAAAAAAAGATGGAAGTCACATTATTTCTGTGAGAAAGTAACTGAAGTTGAGATACCCGGTTATGATCGATTATATTACAGACTCTGGATTTTGTCAAGAATCACGAAATGTGCAGCAGGAGAAGCAGTATTCAATGCATGCTGTTAACAAAAGGTGCAAGTCTGTATCAGATACAATATCAACCATATATAACTAAATCCATTTCATTTATCAGTAAATAAGGAGAAAGAAAGCAATGAGTTATTTACCACACATCTTATGTAAGAGAGAACAAGATGAACAGATCCTGGAAAAATGTAAAATTACTTATGTTTAATATATATAAGTCTCCAGGTTACAACAGTCCTGAGCTACAACGATTTGTGCTTATGATGCAATCTCCATAAATACTGTTTCAACTAATGCCATTTGCCTTGTACATACGCTACAGTGGAAGATTACATTTTGAGATGGAAGAATACATTATCATACGGCACTAAAGTGAGGAAGGTGATATGCCATATTGGATTGTTGTACATTTGCTCTCTTTTGTTTGTGTTTCATTTATGGAATACTTATTGCCCTTCATTATGGCTCTCAAGTATAGCATAACTTCTGATGGTGGTGTTTCAAAAAAAAGTAAATTAAACATTGTCAAATGCTCTGAAAAGGGAGAAACAGTTATAAACATTGGCCAGTTGCTTGCCTTAAGTCATTTGGCTGTCACTTAAAACATGTATATATGCATATACATATTGAGTTTCTCCATAAGAGATAAAGAAATTTTCTTGTTAAACTGTAAGTTGTTAAATTCTCAATAAAAAAAGAAAAACAAAAGGTGAGTTTGTTTTTCTTTCTTCTCTAGATTTGCTGCTGCCTTTTGAGTACTGCAAGAGAGACATTTTTTTAACAATGGTGGGTGTTCTTATGAGGTGTTGATAGCTTTATTAATAACTTAATGTTTGACATTTTTAAGTAAAATTCTTTTTAAAATACTGAGGATAGTGAGGATTACTGAATTGCAGTAATTTTGTTTCCATTTATCATTAGTGCTTAATAACAATATCACCTAACTGCTACAAATTGATACAGAATTTTCAAAGTTTTAAAACTTTATAACAATTCATGTATAAATTCATTATTTGTTGAAAACTTTCTTTTTTTCTTAAAACAATAGTGCCCACAGTATATCTTATTCATAAAAACAATAAAAAACTTTTCTAATCAAATGTCTGTTTTATTGCATTTTTATTTTATGATACAGAGAAGATTTTGTGTAACTTGGGGTCCAGTTTGATAAAAAAAATGAATGATTTAAATTCTGAGAAGTTGTCCTTATGAGTAATATAAGCATTAAGCTCTACAGAAGAGTCAAACTTTCATAAAATAAAGGTGGTTAGCAGATATAAAAATAATTTAATGTTTTGAAAGAAATTTCCTTCATCTATGAATAAGTTTTTAAATGTTTCATTATAATCTGACAATTATCTTAATTTTTACAAGGATTTCCAAATCAAATAGGTGCTAAAATTTCTCATACTAATTTATAGTCCTCTCAAAGAGAAGCTAATTTTAACCAAAATTTTGAAGGTTCTAAAAAAAAAGTTATAAAATATAATTTAATAATTAAAATATCCTTTGGGAACTTTTTTATCACGTATGCTCATGATTTAGCAAATCTTTGGAGCTAAGTATATATATATATATATATATATATATATATATATATATATACACACAACTCCAAAATTCGCTTGAGGATGAAATGAAACTAATGTCTTTAATTTAATTACAAAATTAAATTCAAAGCTTTTAGCTTCCATTTTTGAAACATGGTTAGAACTGTGTAGCGAAAAAAAACCATATTCTAAAACAGTTAATTTATAATATTAATGCTCTGTAAATTTACATTGGGCACTATTTTGTACAAATAAAAATAAAAAATATCTATAAGAACACCGGATTATATATCTTACTGTTCTTTTTTTTTTATTTATATATACACACATATATTACACACTAGTAGAAGTATTGAGTCTAACCCAAGTTTCTAGATATCTAAAATTAATAAAGTTACATGAATTCACTAAAATTTGTATGAAAATTCAGTTCAGGAATATTGATTCTACCAGAATTGATCCTTTCAAGTTATTAAAAAAAAAAAAAAAATCTATTCTTAAAATAAAAAAAAAAATCCAAGCGGGGAAAAAAGGCTTTTTCAAACTATTCTTTTAATTTAATAATAGTTTATGCGAGGTAGGGTAGTGTAATGAACATTGGTGCAAGAAGTGGAATTGATGAGCCAAATTCAAATTCCAGTTTGTTGCACTCACTTTCACACTAATGATCTTCTAAAAGGCATGAATCTGTCTTCTCTCTCACCAGCTTAAATAGCTGAGTAGATTGTGATCTCTAACTGTGCATCACAGCCAGTTTAAAACAAGTAAAACTGAATTCCAGCCATGGAGAATTCACAGAAACCGCTCTACTCTTTCCCAAGCAGGGTGGTTAACACTTTGTGAAGAACAGGAAGTTGTGAAGAGTTACAGTCACCTGCACCTTGAAGGGGGGTGTAGCATTTAGCAAGAAAAAAAAAAAATTATAATTATTGGATTTTTCTGAATATCAATTGCCTCATTTATTCCTATCCATGTCTTTTCCAAGGTAATAATGGCAAATTTAATGTAAAAAAATATCTCAATCAGTGTTTGAACTCTGCTCTTTGATTCTATTTTCAATGCAGCTAACCAATTAGTCATAACTTCCACTAACTTTTTTAGAAATAAATATTTACATAGATGACTACAAATAAGGCACTTCCTGTTTATTCAAAATTGTATAAAAAAAGATGATCCTTTTTGTAGTTTGGTGAAAAAATATTATTTTTAACCATAAACTGACCTTGAACATTAGAAAATACTTATCCCATGTTCATTCCTGAGTTATACATTAAGGGTTAGCCTTCAGGGTCCAAACATAAACAATAATCACAAACTGATCATTTATTTAGGAAATGGATTAAATCCAACAGATTTTTGAATTCATTTGTTTAAACATTTTTTTTTTTTGAATGGATACTCATATTTTAGTAGATGCTCTGTTTTTATTTATCTATTAAACAGTATATTTAATTATCTAGATCTACTGGCCTGAATATAAACACAAAGTGTTCAAAAAAAAAAAAAAAAAAAAATGTACTCACTCTTTAAATGACAATAAATTCGATGCTTATTGACTTTCATGGTTGAAATTATAAAATATTAATGTTTATTTAATTACAAAGAAGGATAACAGTTTAAATTAAATATTAAATGAAATTAAATGCATGGATCTAAAAAGATAAAAAAATATTTAAAAAAAAAAAAAAAAAAAAAAACAAGTTAGAGGAAGTCAAAAAGTAAGTATATTTTTTTGGGAGGGGGGGGGACCCTGTACATATAATACAGTAAGTCTTCATACTCTGTAGCAGTAAGCAGTTTTACTTATCTGCAATTGTCCCAATAAACAAAATTTATTAATTTAAAACTAGTTTGTAAAATACATTCCAATGGAATATTATATATTTAAATGTCCTAAATGTGAGTCATCAGATACTGCAGGTGAGAGAGTGTGTTCAAATAAATAAATAAAAATGTTTAATTCATTGACTATTAATTTTTTTTAAGCTTTTCACCCCAAACAAGGCAGGAGTGCCACTAGCACACAAGGGGTTACAGAGAGTGAAAGAGTAAAGAGGGGGGGTGTTTGAGGAAGGGATAAAGAGAAGGACTAGGGAACAAGATCACAGCATCAGAAGATGCTGATTGACATTACATTTAAATTTTTGAAGATTGTAGTTATCACAGAAGCAAGTAAGAGGAAGGGAGTTTCCACTGTTGGGAAATGTGAGAGAAGCTGTTGGAGTAGAAGAGACAGTTACATTTAATAGTTTCAGTAATAAAAGGGTGGGAGTGAGATGTATGTTTAAATTCATACAGTTGAGGCACCAGTGAAAATAGCTAGTCAGAGACTATGGAAAAAAGTTTAAAGCTGGACTGTTTCTTACTGGAGTTAATCAGCTTATTGTGTAAAATAAAATATTACATTATTAACCAATATTCTATAAAAAAAACAGACCAATTCTATATATATATATATATATATATATATATATATATATATTTTTATGAAAAACAACAATCTTTAGCTTTTTTTTCTTCATAGCAAAGAAAAAAAAATATTTATGTTTATACTTTTAATTGCATTTAAAGAAAAATAAATAAGATGTTGATTTCACAGTTAAAACTTTTGGCCATACCTAGATCTGAAAATTTCACCATCTCCAAGGTGGAAGTGTCTTAGA